GGCAAGGCAAATGCTTTGTGCTGTTGGGAAATGCAGGGCTTGATGGGCAGTGTGCCCTCACCTCTCCCCCTTTTCCATCTCCACCTCGTGGGGAGAGGACCTGCACAGAGATGTCCCATCCCAGCTCCCTGCTTTCAAAGGCTCTTCTAAATCTGTGACTCAAAAATGCAACTAAAGACATTATTAACAACAACATCAGTGCTCTGCTCACTAAGAATTGCCCATCACTGTGCTGAAGGATTTCTTTCCATCATATGTACACCATGGTTTTGTCTAGTTTTCCATTATTCAGCCCATGTGGGCTTTTCCCACTTCCTTTGGGAGCCTCCACTGAGGCTCAACACTCCTCATTGTTAGAAAACTTCCTGATATTCAGCTGCTTCTTCCTTCTATTCATCCCAGCAGGATTGTGCTCCTGCCCGGCTGTGCCTCCAATTGTTTGGGTGCTCCAACCCTTCCAAACCCGGATTTTTTGCTGTCAGAACACAGAATATATTCACTGACTACTCATGGCCTTTGGGCTTGTTGAGATTTAATATCTTTCCACTGCTCCCAGATGCTGCCCCTGCTCTGCCTGGACATCCCCTGTCAGGCTTCTCTTCATTTACTGCCCTGCAGTGGCTCTTCATCCTTTCCAATCCTCCTGGTTACTCCAGTAAAAACCAGCACTTGTTGATGTCCTGTTCCAGTCTGACTGCAGGCAGCCCTTGGCATCAGCCCAGGGAGGCTGGGAGGGATGGAATATGGGCACGAGACCTCCTGCTGGCACTGCCAGCTTGGGTTGGGAGGGACCTGAGAGATCATCCAGTTCCAACTCCCTGGCCATGGGCAGGATCATGTTCCACTATCCCTGCTAAAAAATCAGGCTCCACCATGCCTGGAATAGGAGCCACTGCTTGGATATCACTGGGATTCAGACAAAAAGAAGAAACCAACTTTATTTCACTGAATTCTCACTCGAACCTGCTCTGCTCCCCAGTGCAAAGGGAAATGTTTCACTGTCCCCTTGGACACAGTCAGACACCACAGGAGGGATGTCACAGCTCGGGAATCAGGCTCTGCTCAGCTGGTGCTGGCAGAGGCTCTGCTGGGAAACACCTGCTCCCTCTCCCAGGGGTAGGATTTCGGGATCACTGGTGCCTCTTTCAAAACAACGGTGCCTGTTCCCGCCGGCTCTGGGGCTGCAGGGCTGGGAAAGCGCCCCTTTGTCTGGGGAAAAAGGACCAACAGACCCAGATCCCACAGCAAATTAGGACACAGCAAGTGTCTGAACCTGTTCTGGAGGAGAGAATAATCAAGAATGTCTTTCTGGCCAGGAGTGACTCCTGGATGTGGTTACTGGAGGGAGACACTGGGGACTAGATTTAGTCGTGCAAACTGGAAATGGCTCCAGGTTACGGGGAAGGCGAAGAATGAGTCTGCAAACTGAATCCCTTCTCCATCAACAAGAGAAATTAAAGGCTCTGAAATGGTTGAGACAACCTTAGAAGAGCTGGATCTAATTACTGCAGGACAGGGAAAGCAGGGGAGAGAGGCAGGGCACTAACACAGGGCTCTGGCCAGGGGGTGACAGTCCCCTGGCAAATAAAAGCAAAGGTTGAGGACAAAACACAAGGTCTGGAGGGATATTCAGGTTCAGGCCCTGGTGCCACTCGAGCTTTGAATTTGCCTGAGCCAGCAAAAAACATGAATTTTTGGTTTACTTTTCCTACACTGAAACACATTTCAGCAGCTCATGATCTACTGCCTTTGCTTAAGTGCATTTAATACAGAAAGGCCTAAACATTTGGAGAAGAAAAATCCTGGCATCTGTTAGCAAAAAAGTCCTGTTGGATAGGGAAGTAATGGAATGTTAAGTGCTGATAAATAACAAACCAGGATTTTTAAATGAAGCCTTTTAAAAATTGCAAGGGGACTGCTTCAAATGGGCACTTGCTTTCATTTTTCTTTTCTACCATCTCTCTACAGCACTTAAAAGTATTAAAAAGCTCCTTCTAAATGTACATTTATAAAACTAAAAACTGAACAGGATGAGGCTTTGCACTTCCATTTGTTTCCAAAGTGATTTTTGATTGCTGTGTTATAAAACTCTTCAAAAAAGATTTCAGATGGAAACCCTGACAAACCATTGAGAATTGGTGAACACCACAGCATTTGGAAGCTCCTGGAGGGTTACAGAATCATAAGATCATGGAATGGTTTGCGTTGGAAGGGCCCTTAAAGCCTCATCTCATCCCACCCCCTGCCATGGGCAGGAACACCTTCCACTAGATCAGGTTGCTCCAACCTGATTCTGCTACATCTGCTCAGGAATTTTCCTTTAAAATCTCTTCCAGCACCAACTGCAGCTTCTGTAAAGTGACTTTTTTCCTTTTTTCCCCCCAAGAAAACGCCAGTATTACTGATTTTTTCCTTTAGTTTTGCTGGGAAACACCTCAGTGAAAAGGCCCATTCAAACAGAATTGAAGCTGTTGGTTTAATCATCCCAATAGCGACCCTCTGGGATCACCCAGACATTAAACATTATCCCACAGGACTTGTGGTCCTAAAGCTGATGCTTTAAAAGTGTGAAAGCTTGGGGAGCTGGATGAGAGAATGATACAAGATATCATGGATGTCTTGCAGATAGGCAAAATTCCTAAATCCAACAGTTTGAAGCACAAAGAGTTGGTATTTTGGCATCATGGGGGTACCTCCTTCCCCAGGCAGGGTCCCTAAACCCCCCTGGTGCCATGGAGCCACTCCTGGCACCCTTTTTAGCTTGTTTAGGGACTCTCTGGATGGAAGGTTCCATGGAAGCCTCAGGATGAACCAAAGCCATGAAATATTTACCTCCCCAATGACAAATGAATTCTGCTGTTGCAGGAAAGCACAGGAAGGAAATGATTCCTGTCAATGAACAGAGGAGGGAAGGGACAAGTTAATGCCTCTGTCATATATATTCTGGTGGCCTTTAAATGCCATTTTGATTTGGGTTCTGCTTTCTGGCTCCTTTGAGTGCTCCTAAGGGCTCAGAAGTAGGAAAATTGGCACAACAAAGCATCATTTTACTGAAAATATTCGCTGGGTTTGACAGCAGAAGAATTAAGCTGGGAAATGCAAAATTATTTCTTAAATTCAGGTATGCCTGTGTGGCTGAAACCCATGGAAAATACATATGCCAGTCCCAAAGCCACCCAAGCAGTGATACAACCAGAGACATCCCAGAAGCATCATAGCAGTGGGGTATCAGAAAATCCTGCAAACGGGGGGGAAACTGCTGCTCAAACACGTTGTGCCTTCTCAGCAGCCTCGGGTTCCAATAACAGCCCAGTTTCCCTTGTTTTCCAAAATAACCCGAGATTATTGATGTGCTGCCAATATTTTAACAAGGAGAGTTCACCACATCCCACCCTGTCCCCAGTCTGGGACGAGCACCATGGGATCAGGGTGGGGACCCCAAATGGGTTGAGCAGAGATGAAGAGCCCAGGAGTCGATTCATTGTTTTTCCATCTTAAAGAAAACACTTGCCTGTAACTGTAACCCAGAAGAGAGGCAGCCTCTCCTTTCTTCATGTTTGGCAAATAAACCCCATGTTAAGGGCACTTTGTTGGAAATGTTTGTGCTTTATTTATTTTTGAAAAAAAGACACAGAGTGGGTTGATAGCACAGCTTTTGGCCTATTTGAGCTGGTGTGGAGAAGGATAAAGCCCTGTGTGTGTGTTGCTTTGAAAAATGGGCCTTGCAGTGCAGCAGGAATATATTGCTCTGGGGATGTTTTCTTTCTCATCAACACCAAAAATTTTGTGTTCCATAGGGAAAAAGGTTGGGATTTTACTTTTTTTTTTTTTTTTTTTCCCGTGATCTCTAGAGACTGGAGAGTGGCATCATGGGTCAACCTAGAGATTCCACTTCTCCAGCTTCCAGTTTTGGCTACAGCTAGCAGAAAAAAAATGCTCCTTTCTAAAGAAAAAAAAATCCAAACGACTCCCAAAATAAGTGGTGACTGAATAACCTGCTCACTAGAGATGCTTTTGGATTCAATGCCAACCAGGGATGGATATGAAGCGGGAACCACTGCAATGGTTTAGAAGGATGGACCCCATAAGGGGCAGAAATACCATTCCCAGTCTCCTGACAGATTAGAGGTAACATTATTAGTTCTCCCAGCCCTTGAAGTTCCCAACAGCTGAAGACTTTTGTTAGGAGTCTTTAATTAAAGCAATAACTCCGGAGAGAAAGCAAACATCCCAACCAGGCACAGCTGCCTGGGTCCCTTCCAACAGCAGAGCTGGCACAGTCACCACATTCTGCCCAAACGCTGCGAGAGGCACACAAGTTTTGTTGCAAGATTTATGTCGCATTTAATCTTCCAGGAGTCACCAGTCGCCTCTCTAATGGGTTTGCCCAGCTCTGGTAGTTGGGAAGCTCAGACAGAAGATGTTAATCTGCGAAGGGTTTCAGTGAGCTCGTTCTAATCTGTGTCAGCACCCCCGGCCTCCCGCGTCCTTCTTTGCCCTGAAAAGGGCGATTTCAATCGCCGAGGTGTTGGTTAATCGGTCCCCACTGAGAGCTCCCAGCCTCGCATAAGAATGGGTGTGAAAGTCTCGTCTCCCCGGGGACCAGGATTTCCACAAAACCAGCCCGAAAATGCCCAAAGCCACGAGACTGGATTTCTGCATGTAAACTTACTGGCGATACCGGCGGATTTTACATCCTGAGCCCTCTGCCAGCCCCCACACTCAGCTGTGACCAGTGACACCCGATGCCTTTGGCCACCCCTTCACCATTCACCCACATTTTTTGTCTCTTCAGCAGCTAAACAAGTAAAATGGACCTTTGACCCTGAGGAGCAGGAAACATCTGCCCCGACACCATTTTCAATCCGAATCCACGCTCCTGTTTTTAGGTTTGGTTAAACCGTGAGCTCTGTGAGGTTTCGCAGCCTGCAGTTGGGCTGTTACATGAGATATTCAGGAAGTTATTTGCATGGCTGGATAAAAGCCTGTGGCAGCAGCTGGTGCTGTAGAGGCGACTCCGCGGCCACCAGCCCAAGGAATAACATCAGCTCCAGCTTCACAATGAGTTGTTTACTGGCCTTGGCTGCCTGTGGGAACAGCCAAGGAGAGCGGAGGAAGAGGAGAGACAAACACAATGCGAGCGAGACGCGTTAGGTGGGAGGCTGGGCTTTAGCAGCAGCCCCAGGATCGCAGACCTATGGAACCAGAGAGGCTGAAAATGAAATAAAGGGGCACCGGCTGCAGCAAATGAAGCCGCTGAGCTGTTCCTGCTGCCAGAAGATCCTCGTGGCCAGTGGAAGGGCTTGATATTGAAGGTAAGAGAGAAAAATAAACAGCTTTTAGGCGGGGGCTGTGCTGGGGGGCAGATTCACCGAGCGGCTCCCGGGGGAGCTCACGGGCGGACACAGCCACGCTTCCCTGGAGCACTTGGAACGATGACCCTGGAAGTGGAAAGCTGACCGGGTTTCCAACAGGAATCCAGCGCTTTCAGAGCAAGCTGCTGGGGAAAAAGAGCCCAGACTTTTAGTCAGCTCCTTTGAGAAGATATAACACAAACAAGCCCTTTCTAAATCTCTTCAGAAAGATACTTTATTTTTATGGCCAGCTCTGCTCTGCAGCTTCCCAGTCTTACCCACTGCTTTCCCGACTCCCAGCTCCCCCCTCTTCTGCTCACTTTTTTAATTGGAAGGCAAAACAATTGCAGCCGTGGAAAGGAAAATCCGAGCTCTAAAGCGCTTTTCCCATCGGGCACGCTCTCCCAGGCCGGGTCCACCAGCTAATTGCTCAGGAAATCCGCGCTGCTCATTGTCGGGCTGTCCTTAAACTGCTAATTCCGAACTGGGAGAGGCTCTGCAAGGGAATCCGGGGCTAGTGCCCCGCGAGAGGGACCCACAGAGCCCCGCCGGGGGCGGGCTCAGCGCTAATAACACATCCCTGCCCAATGGAAAGCGCTTCCTATGGAGACCCCCAAGAGTTCCCCCTGCCCAGACATCGGGGCCATTCCTGCGTCCCGTTTTCCCAAGACACGATGGCAGAGCTCGGCAGCGCCGATCCCTGTCGGAACAAAGGCCGGGAAGCGGCTGCCACCCACCGCGGGGTTTAGGGATGAACGGCTGAACTCCGGCGATCCCGGAGGTTTTCCGCGTGGGAATAACGCGGCCCGCGTTCCACAAAGGATCCATGGGGGCTGTCAGGGCGGGATCCCGCTGAACCAGCGAGCCCTGGGAATGGTGCTGCCCTGGTAAGTCCCTGCTCCCAACCCTTCCCAGGTCAGGGAAAAGCAGCCGGATTTCAGGGCAGGGTCGCGGTGGTTCCTAAAGCTCAGGATCGGTTGGATCTGGGGGGTGAGACCAGCCGGGATGGGCTGGAGCCGGGATTAGCGAGGTTTGTCCTGGAGCCGGGATTAGCGAGGTTTGTCCTGGAGCCGGGATTAGCGAGGTTTGTCCTG